CACATAATGGGATTGATTCAATAATAATAGATTAATGAATAAAATTTTTCGCAGATTATTGCGAGATTTAGATGAATGGTTTGCCTCCTTCAGTGACCATGAAAAATTGTCTCCAATCGACAATATCTCCCGATGGAATGGAACGATGTGAATGAATCACGTATCAATTTGAATCTTTAAAAAATTAATCGAGAGTAAAAAAAAATCAGAGGATTCAACTCTGCCATTATGGAGTTATTGACGAGTGAAGTTTATTCACTCCACTCTGCCATTTCTCGATTGTCTGTATTTACCGAGAAAAAAAACGTTGTTCCTAGGAATCGATGTGTCTTTTTTAGGTAGCTGCATTTCTGAAATGCAATGAGCAAGCAATTTTAAAATTAAGTCATTTTGTAGAAAAATTCCAGTAACATGATTTTGAAAATCAAGGGAAAGTCTTGAATTCAGAAATGATGTCTGTAGGTTTCAGTAATATTTTCGCGGAAATTCCAGGAACACTTATTGGGAATTTTTATCGCGTTGCCGTAATACGGAAATTTCAAGGAATTTCGTCATTGCAAATTAAAAATTTCTATAAATTTCAGTCCAATTATATGTGTACGTCCACGTGAAAAGGGCCCATTTTGTCGCATCTAATTTCCAAGATATTCACGTTTTTCTCTTCACTCCATTTATCCCAATGTTAAATTGATTTTTTGATCTTTTATACAGACGTCATACGGAGAAAAATAAATCGGTAAAAGTCTTGCGATCGCAAGGAGTTTCCCAAAGATCCCCACTTTTCATGCACGAAGAACAATGAAACTTTTTGGAATCTTCGGGAAATTCTATCCTATCCTACTCAAGTAGGAGCGGAGGAATGAATTTTCAAAAGCGCGGAGTAACCACGAACGGCTCTCCGGAGGGGCTCCTTTGATTGGAAAATTCATTTCTCCGCCGCCTAATTAAGATGAAAGAATGAAAGCAATATGCATCGATGGAGAATTATATTCTCAATAAATTACAGCGGTTTCATTGCTTAATTTCTATTAGGAGAGGAGGAATGAATTTTCAAAGCGTGCAGTAACTCCGAACAAGTTCTTCTCATTCAAAAATTAATTTCTCCCCTCCCTAATTGAGATGAAGGAATGAAACCAAAGTCTACAGATTGAGAATTGCATTTTTAATAAATGACATCGGTTTCATTTCGTAATCTCAGTTAGGAGCGGAGGAATGAGTTTTCAAAAGCGCGGAGTAACCCCGAAAGGTTCTCCGGCGTCGAGTGAGCCCGGAGGGGCTCCCCTGATTCGAAAATTCATTTCTCCCCCCCTAATTGAGAGAAAGGAATGAAACCGATGCCGATCGATCGAGAATTAAATTCTGAAAAAATGACAGCTATTTCATTCCTTAATCTCAAGTAGGAGCGGAGGAATGAATTTTCGAAAGCGCGGAGAAATCGCGAACGGCTCTCCGACGTCCAATGAGCCCGGAGGGGCTCCCCTGATTCGAAAATTCATTTCTCCCCCCCTAATTGAGAGAAAGGAATGAAACCGATGCCGATCGATCGAGAATTAAATTCTGAAAAAATGACAGCTATTTCATTCCTTAATCTCAAGTAGGAGCGGAGGAATGAATTTTCGAAAGCGCGGAGAAATCGCGAACGGCTCTCCGACGTCCAATGAGCCCGGAGGGGCTCCCCTGATTGGAAGATTCATTTCTCCCCCTCCCCTAATTGCGAAGAGGGAATGAAAGCAACATCTATCGATCGAGAATAATATTCTCAAACAATGACAGTGGTTTCATTCCTTAATCTCTTCTGGGGGGAGAGGGGTGAGGAATGAATTTTCCAATCGGAGGAACCCCTCCGAGCTCACTCGACGTCGGAGAGCCGTTCGGGGTTTCTCCGCGCTTTTGAAAATCCATTCCTCCGCTCCTAACGGAGATTAAGCAATGAAACGGATGTCATGTATTGAAAATACAATTCTCGATGGGTAGGCTTTAGTTTCATTTGTTCATCTCAATTAGGGGGGGAAGCAATTAATTTTTGAATGACAAGAACTTGTCCGGAGTTACTGCGTGGTTTGAAAATTCATTTCTCCTCTCCTAATAGAGATTAAGGAATGAAACTACTGTCGTTTAATGAGAATATAATTCTCGATCGATAAATATTGCTTTCATCCCTTCTTCATAATTAGGGGAGGAGGGGGAGAAATGAATCTCGCCATCAGGGGAGCCCCTCCGGGCTCACGCGACGTCGGAGAGCCGTTCGGGGTTTCTCCGCGCTTTTGACAATGCAGTCCTCCGCTCCTACTTGAGATTAAGGGATGAAACCGTTGTCATTTATAGAGAATTTAATTCTCGATCGATCGGCATCGGTTTCATTCCTTCATCTTAATTAGGGGGGGAGAAATGAATTTTCGAATCGGGAGAGCCCCTCCGGGCTCACTCAACGTCCGAAAGCCGTTCGCGGTTTCTCTGCGCTTTTAAAAATTCATTCCTCCGTTCCTAACTGAGATTAAGAAATGAAGCCGATGTCATTTATTAAAACTATAATTCTCAATCGGTAGGCTTTGGTTTCATTACTTCATCTGAATTAGGGAGGGGAGAAATTAATTTTTGAATGAGAAGAACTTTTTTGGAGTTTTACTGCGCGCGTTGAAAATTCATTCCTTCTCTCCTAATAGAGATTAAGAAATGAAACCACTGTCATTTATTGAGAATATTATTCTCGATTGATAGATGTTGTTTTCATTCCCTCTTCGTAATTAAAGGGGGGGAGGGAAGAAATGAAGCTTCCAATCAGCAGGGCCCCTCCGGACTCACTCGACACCGGTGAGCCATTCGGGATTTCTCCGCGCTTTCGAAAAATCATTCCTCCGCTCCTACTTGAGATTAAGGAATGAAACCGTTGTCATTTATTGAGAATCTAAGTCTCGATTGATCGGCATCGGCTTCAATCCTTCATCTCAATTAGGGAGGGGAGAAATTAATTTTTGAATGAGAAGAACTTGTTCGGGGTTACCGGGCGTTTTGAAAATTCATTCCTCCTCTCCTAATAGAGATTAACGAATGAAACCACTGTTCTTTATTGAGAATATTATTCTCGATCGATAGATGTGGCTTTCATTCCCTCTTCATAATTAGGGGGGGGGGGAGAAATAAATCTTCCAATCAGGGAAGCCCCTCCGGGCTCACTCGACGTCGGAGAGCCGTTCGGAGTTTCTCCGCGCTTTCGAAAATTTATTCTTCCGCTCCTACTTGAGATTAAGGAATGAAATCGCTGTCATTTTGTCAGAAGGTAATTCTCGATCGATCAACATTGGTTTCCTTCCTTCATCTTAATTAGAGGGGGGGGGGAGAAATGAATTTTCCAATCGGGGGAGCACCTCCGCGCTCACTCAACGCCGGAGAACCGTTCGGGGTTACTCCGCGCTTTTGAAAATTCATTCCTCCGCTCCTAACTGAGATTAAGAAATGAAACCGATACCATTTATTAACAATACAATTCTCGATCGGTAGGCTTTGGTTTCATTCCTTCAGCTCAATTATGGAGGGGAAAAATTAATTTTTGAATGAGAAGAACTTGTCCGGAATTACTGCACGCTTTGAAAATTCATTCCTCCTCTCCTAATAGAGATTAAGCAATGAAACCACTGTAATTTATTGAGAATATAATTCTCCATCGATAAATATTGCTTTCATTTTTTCATCGTAATTAGGGGGGGAGAAATGAATTTTCCAATCGGAGGAGCCCCTCCGGAGAGCCGTTCGGGGTTACTCCGCGCTTTTGAAAATTCATTCCTCCGCTCCTACTTGAGTAGGATAGGATAGAATTTCCCGAAACTTCCAAAAAGCTTCATTGTTCTTCGTGTATGAAAAATGGGGCTCTTCGGGAAACTCCTTGCGATCGCAAGACTTTTACCGATTTATTTTTCTCCGTATGACGTCCGTATAGAAGATCAAAACATTAATTTAACATTGAGATAAATGGAGTGAAGAGAAAAACGTCAATATCTCGGTGAAATGACGTTAAAGGCTATCATACCCTAGGTGGTATGATAGTCGAATTAAAAATCACGAATAATCGATAAAAAACAAACACACAAAAAAAGGGATTAAATAATTCGAACACAGAATTGGATGGGAAAAAGCCGTTACGGCATAAAAAACCCAAATTTATTGATTAGGATATAATGGATCGATTACAACTGCGAATGACACTTGTTTTACATACACATACACACACGCTACCACACTGCAATGTCTGTCCTAAGAACACTACGATGTGAACTGTCGGACGCAGCTATGGACATGTACACACACACACACACGCGTGTCGATAATGCGACAGATAGGTTATGGAATCACACGTTGTGTGATTCCGAGACGATATTCGTAATTAAATTACGAAGATATGAGGCCGTTGCACCACCTCCGATACGTTTTTATATGAAGTGGCCGTTCGCCACTTCAAAAAAGATGTAGAGGAAGCGGCACGTTGCACCACTTCCAATACGATTGGCGTTGCCATTCACTACACCGTTAATCTGAATTGATTTTTACAGATTTTGCGAGGTAACTGTTTTGGATGTTAGATTGACACTTTGAATTAATAATAACACTGATTTCACACGAAAGATCCATTGACAAACTTAAGTGCTCGAATAGCGTCGGTTTTGATCGTTACACGTGGTGTAATAGACTAGGTTGGGTTAGCGTCGGTTGGGCGCTTCCCCGCGAGAAACTAGCGAGTCGAGAGGGGGAAAATTCGCAGCGGTGGCGTGGCGAACTAGATAAAAACTAGCATTCAGCGCGCGCGTAGATTTGAACGAGTTACGATGTAACATACTCCCGGCAAAAGCTGCGAAATAAACCACCAGTGGGTTGTTGTGCAGTAGAGGAACGTATGTACGATAGATTGATAAACGATATAACTGATAATTCTAGCTATGACTCATAGCTAGGTGACGGGTAACAGACAGAGGCGGGTGATGTTGCGTTTATAGGTACCGCTGGCGGTCCTAACTGATGCNTGTCCTAACTGATGCAACTCGAGCGACGCCGTCACTTACAGGATACACTTCAATGATCATGCCCAGCGGCCATCGTGCACAAGCGACAGCGTCGTCCATGAGGAGAACCACTGAACCGAGTTTCAGTTCAGCAGTAGACGTATGCCATTTTTGGCGAGTTTGGCGTTCATGTAGATATTCCTTGTGCCATTTATTCCAAAAGTCCTGTTTGGCCTTGGTGATGAAGTTATAAGTGGACAGGCGATTATCTGAAACTGACGAGAACGATTTTTCGGGTAAGGCATTGAATGGTCGGCCTATCAACAGGTGGGCTGGAGTGATAGCTAAGGGATCATTGGGATCAGCCGAAAGAGTACACAACGGTCGAGAGTTTAAGATCGCTTCAATTTCGATCAGCAAAGTATTGAGTTGCTCATAAGTAAGTCTTTGGTCCTTTAAAACGCATTTCAAATGATGTTTGAAACTCTTTACAGCTGCTTCCCAAATCCCTCCAAAGTGGGGAGACAATGGTGGGTTAAAATTCCAGGTGATGCGTTTAGATAGAGCGTAATTGCCCACGCTTTCCGCGAATTCGGGGCTAGAAAGAAGATTGTACAATTCACTGAGCTCTTTACTGGCTCCAACGACATTTGTACCGTTGTCGGAGTAAACCTGTTCAGGAACACCTCTGCGGCCGGTGAACCTGCGAAAGGCTGCCAAAAATCCTTGTGAGGAAAGATCAGTCGCTAATTCAATGTGAACAGCCTTAGAGACCATACACACGAATACACATCCGTACGACTTGAGAAACGATCTGTTACGATCTTTCTTCTCTTTGATGAGGATTGGACCAAAAAAATCAACACCTGTCTGCGAGAAAGCGGGTGCTTCTTTCACTCTAGATCTAGGCAAATCTGCGATCTGAGCATGAACTACCGTTGGTTTCTGACGAATGCATTCGATACAACGACGAACAATCCTTCTGATCTGATCCTTACCGTTCAGAATCCAGAATTTGGATCGAATCGCGTAGAGAGTACTTTGAATCCCTGCATGGAGATTCGAATGATGAGCCCGACGGATGATCATGTCGGTAACCGGATGTTTACTAGGCAACAAGATTGGGTGTTTCTGNATTCGAATGATGAGCCCGACGGATGATCATGTCGGTAACCGGATGTTTACTAGGCAATAAGATTGGGTCTTTCTGATTGTACGATAGTTCGGACTTCTTGAGCCGACCGCCCACAAGAAGCAGTTCCTTGTCGTCTACGAAGGGATGCAATTGATCAAACGAGGTTCCCTTTGCTGATGAACGAGTTGAGTTCGTCGAAGATTGATTGATTGTGAGCCTTCGTACTTCAACAGAGAAACGCTCGCGCTGAACCATCGTGACGATTTGATGCTCAGCCTCGTCAAGTTCTTTGACAGTGAGTGGACGATTCCGAGGGGTTTGTGGATACTTCCATCGCCGGATGTACGCAATGACTCTTACAAATCGTTCGAAATCAGAGAACTGAGAATACAGAGAGTCACATGAAGTGGTAGTGATCAGGCAGAGATTCCTTTTCAGTCCTTGCACTAGAACTGCGGAGGGTACGATGGATTGCGGCCATCCGGGTTCTTCGAGAATTAGCCATCTAGGACCTGAAGACCAGAGAGTTATTGACAAATTCAGACGGAAGTTGTCCTCGAGATAACGCGTCAGCTGGATTGTCTTCGGACCGGACATGTCTCCAACTAACTTGATCACCTAAAGTTTGAATATCTGCCACTCTGTTTGATTCGAAAGTTCTGAGAAGATGAGGAGCTTTCTTAAGCCAACAAAGAATGATGGTGGAGTCAGACCATAAGTATGCCTGATCGATGGGGAAGTCGAACTGAACCGTAGTCTCCACATATAATTTTTTGAGGATGGTCGCTGGGCAGAGTTCCAACCTAGGGATTGTAACTCCGCTCAACGGTGCTACCCGAGATTTACTACATATCAGTCTGATCAAAACCTCACCTTGAGGATTGCTGGATTTGAGATACAGACAAGCTCCATATCCGTGACTGGAGGCGTCACAAAATCCATGGATTTCGATGCGAGAGGGATTTTCGATTAAAATCTGTCGAGGAACCGAGACTTCACGNCACCTTGAGGATTGCTGGAGTTGAGATACAGACAAGCTTCATATCCGTGACTGGAGGCGTCACAAAATGCATGGATTGCGATACGAGAGGGATTTTCGATTAAAATCTGTCGAGGAACCGAGACTTCACGAATTTTTGGTAACTGGAGTGCTAGCGACGTCCATTTTGTGTGTATATCTTGAGGAAGAGACTCATCTCATGTAATCTTTGCCTTCCAGCAGTCTTGAATTAAGACTTTGGCGAATAAAGTCACGGATCCTAAGAATCCTAGAGGATCGAAGATCCTTGATACTTCTGAGAGGAGTTTATGTTTGGTTGCAACAACGTTAGGATCAACCTGAGTCAAAGTGTACTGCAACAGATCACCTTGGGCATCCCATATGATACCCAAAGTCTTCTGGACTGGATCATCGTTGATCAAGCAATCCAAATCAAAGAACCTTTTATCAATCTTGTCCAAAGCTGAACGATGATTGGATGACCATTGGCGGATGACGAAACTGCCGCGAGAGAGCAATGCGATCATATCATCTCTAATGGTTATAAGTTCGTCTAGAGAATCTGCTCCGGAGATGAAATCGTCAACATAAGAATCACGAAGTAGAAGTTTACTGGCACGTGGGAAGTTCTGTGCCTCATCACGCGCAAGTTGTTGTATGGTACGAATCGCTAAGAACGAAGCAGCGGCTGTATCAAACGTCACGGTGTTGAGTTGAAAAGCTCTGAGTCAGCCTTGGTAAGGCCACAGAACCCTTTGAAATTGTCTGTCGTCAGGATGAATTAGAATCTGGCGGTACATTTTCTCAATGTCCGCTGTGATGACGTA